ATATTAAGATGGTTTAATGTGTGATGATTATATGTCTTATAGTTTATAAATACTTTTTTTAAGAGAAAATTAGAGGATGCAAACAAAATGAATGGAACATTGAACTATGGCCTTTATACAAAGAGGGACAACAATTTCCAACAGAGAAATTAAAAGCTCGACAAAATTCACATAATGGGTTTGAATATGATGATCCATCTAATTAACTTATTTCAAATCAAATATATTATACATTTACATTAAAGAAAAAATTGGCAGAACTGATGCAAGTGAATTAGTTTTGAATTTTACCTGCAAGTAGTGGAGACTCGGCCAACTGATCACTGAATTTTGGGAAACAGAGAAGAAGTCTACTAATAAACCTGATAGGCTCTTTAAGAGGAAAAATTAACAGCTCATGAACTTGTCAGACAAACGCAATAGATAACTTAAATCCTAAACATAAAAAGACATATATGATTAGGGGTGTCAATATTGGACACGACCCGAAAATTCGACCTGAATACGATATGGAAAATTCGGGTTCGGGTTGACCCAAACCCGAACCGGGTCGGATTCGAGTTAGAGTTTTCGATCCGTTTTAGAAATCGGGTCGGGTTCGGGTTGACCCGGAAACCCAAAAATGACTTGGATTGACCCGTTGACCGACCCTGACCGCAGCTGCCCGCGTCTGCATCGGTTTGCCGGCCAAGCTACTTCGCTGACCCGCCTGCCCCCGCTGACGTGTTGCCCTGCTGTAGCGTCGAATGACTCGTGTCGCACCGCTACAGTGTCTGGCGCACGAACTGTCTAGTCTCTGGAATGCGGAACCGAAACAGACGGTGGATTTACAGGATTTGGCTTAGTAACCACGAATGGACGGTTGATTTTCAGGATTTGGCTCAGCAAGCGCACGAACATAAGATGGATTTACGGGATTTGGTTGAGTAAGAGCGCGAACAGAAGAAATTTTTTATGTCAACTCGATTGAAACCGGGTCGTGTCAGGTTGACCCGAACCTGAAGCGGGTCGGGTTCGGGTCTGAAAAATCGACCCGTTTGCAAAATCGGGTCAGGTTCGGGTTGACCCGAGTAATACCGGATCAGCTCCTGATTCGACCCGACCCGTGACCCAAAATTGACACCCCTATATATATGAATTTAACACAAATAAAAATTTATCTTAAAATAATTAAAAAAAATGAATTTAACACAATTAACGAGCAGTATCATATGATATCTTAATAATCTTATTATGCAGAAGATAGTTTTTCACCGTTGAAATTGTAATTGAGAAATACGTTTTTAAAAATAAAAAAAGAAAAAGTTAAATCAACTCAAACAAAACCTAATACTTTGTTTTCATTTAGGAGGATTTTTTTATTGGTTCTTAAAATAATTTTTTAGTACTAAAATTAAAATTTTGTATTTAAAAATTGATTTAAAAAGTTATAAGAAAGACATCCCAAATAAAATCTTAATGGAAACCGAAAGAGGACCAATAGTTTATAATTCAGTTATTTAATTAAATGGTCCATTAAGACTTAAAAAATTATCTCTCTATTGATCAATAGATTTTGACACATAAATAATTATTAAATGACAATTGAATTTTGAAGCAATAGGAGCCACTTAACATAAAAATTATACCCACCGATGCTTAGCTCGGTTAATAGGTGAGCGCAACCTGCGTTCGATTCCCCTTGAGCGCGTCAGCGTCTCTTAAGTGGGACACATGAAGTACAGGCCAGGAGGTGGTAGGTGTCTCTTCTAGATCAGTCTAGCTAGGATTAGTCATGCCGCCAAACAACTCTTCGGGGGTGACAACGAATGGATGCTCCATTAAAAAAAAAAAACATAAAAACTATTTTTACAAACAAGATATGATAAAAAACTAGCGAGATAAACCCCATGAGCTAAATACAAGTAATGCAGTTTTGTATTTAAAATAAAATAATTCAGATGCAAAAAATGCAAGCATAAGACTATAAGATATAATAAATGGAGGTTTATTAAATTAATGGAAATTCAGCAAATTCGGAGGCAATTGTCTATATATATACATATATGCGCACACAGACATAAAACATTAATTAATAAAATGATATCTATACAACACTAGCGTTAATGGGCTTAATTCTTCCACTTATTATTTAAGCAATACAGAAATTTCAATAATCATTTAGTGAAAAAATTACCTAAATAACAGTAATCATATAACTGCAATCTTAATGAAAAAAATGTATGATTATTTCTTGAATACACAAGACGCCAACAAAATATTTAGGATCTATTCTAGAATCTTCTTATAGTGTTTTATAGAATTGATTGTGAAGTGATTGTTGGAAAAACAACTTTAACTAATATGATTACACAAAATAGTTTTACAATACACATTTCTGATAAATAGGGAGAAAACAGTAAGAAATTAATAGTAATCATGATTACAAATTGAAAAATAAAACAACCAGAAAGCTGCCCCAAACAGAAACGTAAATAAATTCCAGAGTCTACAGTAACACCGTATTAATGATGCTTTGGAGTAATGTGAATATTTATCCTTTGGAATAAACATAGATTCCAACTTCCAACTAATTCGAATTGAAGTAAGAAAATTTTAACTTCTATACTGAAAAAAAGTTGATAACAGCATAATGCAGTAGAATAATTATTTTTTTTGGAAACAACGTATCTACCCGCTTTCACTCTAAACGAAGGCTTTGACGGTATAACTAATTTCTCGGCAGAATCTAACGATGCCATTTACCGGCATCGAGCCCATATTTGCTTTGCCCCGCTAAAGAGGCGAGACTATAGTGGAGGGGATTCAAACCCAGAATGGAGGTTTCCAACCTTGCTCGCCCATCAACCCCCCTAAGCCACGGTGGGTAGCAGGAGAAATTTTAATTTTTAACTTCTATATAGAAAAAAAGTCGATATTGCATGCTAAAATTTTTTACATTCATGAAAGAATTTTCTTAATTCTGCAAATCAGATGAATTTTTTGGACAAACCTTAAGAGCCAAGATCTTTCACAAAAAATTAATTAGAAAAACATGGATTGATTTGGGAAAAAAAAACTCGAAATTTTATAAAAGATGGGAAAGTTTGAAAACTAGGTTTCTCTCTCTTGAATAAATAACTGTCTGTCTTGCTGTAGTTTTTCTTGATGATGACTAAACTAAGACTTTGTTTGAAACAATTTTTAATTTCTTTTGTGATAGTAAAAATATTTAGTAAAAAATAATGCATATTTGGAAGATAGTTTTTCACCGCTATTTCAAAAAATTACCAATAAAAAACTATTTTTAAAAGAGCATTTTTGAAACTGTAATTGAGAAAAATGCTTTTAAAAATAAAAATAGAAAAAGTTAAACAGCCTCAAACAAAACCTAACTCTTTGTTTTCATTTAGGACGACTTTGTTACTACTTATTAATGCAACTTTTTAGTACAAGAACTCAACTTTTGTAATAAAAATTACTTTAAAAATAGTAAAAAAGACATCCCAAACAAAATCTCTGCAAAACCCACCACAAGCACTAACCGTGGCGAGCCCAACCCATCCAACACGAGTCCATTTGCACGACTCCCAAGGCTTGCCCAAGTGGCTTCCCGCCCGCCCCTAGTCCAATCTGTGCAGCCGCACTTCTCACCACGATTCTGCCTGGGTGTCTACCGGCCTCCGCCTCAGCGCTCGAACATCGCAACGACACAACGCTCCAATTTAGAAATTTCAAAATGTTCATATTTTTAGCTTAAAAATAATTTTCATAATTATCAGTTTGTTACACTCCCTATATCAAATAATTTTGATGGTAATGTGTGACAAGTATTTAATATATTATAAATACTCATATTTGGAATATATTAACTCTTGCTACTGGCTGGAAAAAAAATTCTTCTTTTATAAATTAAGCCTACTTTATTTTTACATTATGATATGACAAAAGTTAGTTGGTGAAAAAATGTTTGGTGCTGTTGAGTATTGGTCTAGATTTTAGGTAAGTTGTTCCTACATGACAACATACTAGTGTAAATGCTTATAAGATCATCTCCAACGGAAAATCGCATTTTTCACTCCAAAATGCCGTGAAACCTAAAAATGCTGCGATTCATCTCCAATCGAACTCCATTTTGCGCAGGTCACGGTTTTATCTTCTTTCGCGCTGTTTCTTGGTAAGTTCGGTAGAGGCAGAAATTTTGGTTCATGTCAACAATATAACCTTTAAGATCACTAGGAATTCTTGTTCTGCTTGTCACCCACATCTCTGCACTCCATACAAGGGTTGAAAGTCTGAAAGAAATAACCGTATCTTTAAAGGAGAAGACTCTAATGCTAACACTCTGATTGCAAAAGTTCACTCTATCGTTCATCATAAAAGCAAAATTTGGAAGCAAATAAGCGAAAAACCTGCTCTCATTGCTAATCTGTACTTTAGATGATTGAATGCCTTCTACTCTTTGGCATTCTTCTCACTGTGCTGACTTCATTTTTGGGTAGTAGTTGTCATTTGTATTGGCAAAATATCTATTTTCCGTGCTGTCAGATTTATTAGAAAAAACATTTGTCATGGATTACTTGCTTGGTTCCATTCTCCTGCTACAGTGGAATTGTTGTAGGTTTTATTGGAAATTTTCATTTTTCCCTGCTCGGCCCTAACCTCCTACAGCCACCTGCACACTAAAATTTATGCTTTAGATAATCATTCTCACAGATACTTGGAGTTTTTGAGGGCTATGAGGATATCCCATTACTTATATGTGACTCAACTTGGCTATCCATTTTCCCTCGTGAACTCTGTTTTCTTGTTGGTTAAATTTAAATACCTAATATGTTATGCAAATTACTACCTTTGGAACCTTTTGGCTGCTGCTACATATACAACGGTTACTGTATTTTTTGGAATATCTGATAACCTTATTTGCTTTTGCTCTTTCTTTTGAAGATTGTTGGCTTATTGTTAAAAAATTGAGAGTTTTCCTCGAATGATAAGGCCAATCAAATCTCAACTAGGTTAAGTTCAAACTGAACATGGAAAACCATTTTCATTATACTTTCATATAATGCAAAACAACCATAAACTAACGGCACTGATAAATCACTGCTTCAAACACAAACAACTCTTATTTCTTTGTAATACCAGAAAGCTGGAATTTCCAGAGCAACTGTAATCATTAAAACACTCAATACAGCAAAACCTTAGAAAACAATCTGAACAGGCTTGGAACCACTGTCAAGAGAAGTTTTCACTGCATCCAAGACAACCTGAGTCTTCCTGCTGATGGTAGGCCACTTATGGTCAGGCTTTGCTCCAGATTCTTTAATCGCAGCAACTAAACTAGAAAACTCAGAAACCATTAGAGCCTCCTGTGGCAGATCAGTGGAGACAACATGCTTTTTGGGAAATGTTGTCCATGAGTCGACCAGATCATCGAAGCAAGAACCAGAAGCAAAAGTAAAGTGAGCAGATTTCTGTTCGATAGGAACAATGAAGTCATTCAGTTGCAGTGTTCCTTTTGATCCAATGACAGTCAGATCCATAGTTAGGTGAGCGAGAAAAGAGCAGTGAAATGTTGCAACCCTCCCATCCTCCCAGTGCAAAGATGCATCACAGGATAGAACTACCCCAGCTTCGTTCTTAACAGGGTTGGGAAATGCAATGGCAGTTCTGGGAAGGTCATAGTCGTTTGCCCATAATATAGAACGGATACAATACCAGCCTGCATCACCAAGAGCACCAAGGCCATCAAGATCGGGCTTCACTCGGATGTCATTTTTAAGGAAATCAGAGTCCCCATTGAAGCTAAATATGCTGTTAGTCTGCCATAAGGAGATGGAAGGATTATCATCACGCAATCAGATTGAGACTTTTAATTAAAGTCTTGTAAGTATACTTCAAGAAGGTAGCAATTTTTACAGAATCCTCATCAAGCAGTACCATATCAGGAATGAGAGAGTTCCAAGAAGTAGAGGTAAGGGGGGGTAAAACCATAAATCTCATATTGTTTGGTACACTCTTTTGGGAATGATTTTAATAAATATTATTTCAACCCAACAATTGGTTCTATAAAAGATTTATTAAATCCCAACATTTATAGGATTTAACGAATTTCTCCATCTCACAAAACTTAAATTCAGAAACAAATAATCAACATTTTATTAGGATTAACCAGATTTAATAGTTATCGTTTCAAGGAATTTTCAAATTTTAATGCTCACAAAATTTACTAAACCTGAATTTTCAGAATTTCCTAAAGCCTAACTGAGTTAAGTCATATTTGTAGCCAAGCAACCAAAGTGAGCAAACAAAAGTAATAAATGTATAAGAAAAAAAGGAACTTTCCAAACTCAATCATTTATAGTAATTGAGAAAAACTGCAGCAGTATATAGAACTCTCAAAAACCCCTAAAAAGACGGGCAGCAATTATTTACCCTTTTGACTTGACCGAAACGATCGGGATCGGAGAGCAGCTCCCGCATCTTGGCGGTACGGGGATGGTGCATCCACATAGTGCCGTCCATAATCTGGACACCATTAACCTCACAGGCCTCCAGAATCCGATCCAGCTCCGCGGCGTTAAGGGCCGGCGGCTTCTCGAGAAGCACGTGTTTGCCCTTGCCGGCGGCGGCGACAGCCCACTGGACATGGAGGCTCGTAGGAAGCGGTACGTAGACGGCGTCAACGGCTGGATCTTCGAGTAGTTCCTCGTAGCTTCCGTGGACGTGCGTGTTCTCCGGGAGGCCGTTGTCGGCGATGAAGCGGCGGGCTTTGTCGGCGGATCGGCTGCCGACGGCGACTACGGCGGCGTTGTGAGCTAGACCGATGGCGCGGCAAATCTTACGGGCAATATCCGCGCATCCCATGATCCCAAACCTGATCGGAGCCGCCATCGGCTCTGTCCTTCGCTTCGCCTCTGCCCGTGGAACTGAGCAAAGAGAGTGTTGGAAGGGTGAACTCGTTGGTCGATAGACGCCCTTCAAGTTAGGGTTATTTATAGGGCTGCGTGAATTAATAATGCAAGGCCCCTTCGAAATTTGAGAAATTACAAAAAGGTACCCTGATGGATTAAATTTGTCTTCTCAGCAAAGCCAGCACATATCAGTCAACCTTTTCCGAGTAGCACAAAAATTAATTATATAATACCAACGAAGAAAAAGCCTACAATGCAACTCTCTTTGGCCTATTGGTTGAGAGCTAAGGCTTCAACTAAGAGGTCTAAGTTTCGAGTCTATGTGTATGTGTCGTGTGTGTGAATTTGTTTTAAATAGCCTAAATGTCTCCAAAAAAATATTCATTTAATTTATATTAATTTATCTAATACCAATTCCTCAAACCCATTTTGATTGCATCTAATTATTTTTATAATAAATAAAGGTTTTAAGTGCCAAAAAAATCATGATAATGCATATGAAGAGTTCTATTCTATTTTATAAAAAAAATTAGAAACAATCAAAGAGAACTAAATTTAGAAGATATAGAGTTATTAAGTAGAAAATTTGGGAAGAAAAAATATGATAAATTAGAAAGTTTAATGTGATTAGTGAGCTCTTAACATGAAATTAATTTTTCCAATCAAAATTTATCTTTTAGTCTTGATTCGAAATTTTCAAATAGATGTATGTTCCAGTTGAATGCGATTCTTCAATAATAAAATCATTGAGTGAGTAATGAGATTTACAAAGATGATTTATGCAATACAAATAAATTTCACAATCATAAGTGATTGATTTACATTTGTCATGAAAATTTTAGCTTCCTAGCTACAAAATATTTCATCATGACTGCTTCAAGCCTTCAATATCGTAAAATTCATTGGTTTTTCTTTATATATTAGGTATGATTTTATAAATTAACCTTACTTTAAAGATAAGCATTTAAAACTACTCAAACTATTTCCTAAAAAACTTCTAAAACCCGCAAAAATGCTTACTCAATTTGAGACCTTCACAATGATATCTCACCTAAGAAGCTTTGATGCATGCCATTCCAACAAATTCTACACATTATAAAGAATGACAACTTAATAACCATGTACTATGCTTTATTTACATAATTGTACAAATATAAATGCAAAGTATATCATGTTATATATAATTTTATATGTATAGGACCTTTGCATAAATAACATATTTAATGAATATTAAAGGAAAATTCTAATCAATTAACAATTAACGAGATGCAACACAATTCAAATACATTAGTTTTTCTTTACATTGTATTTAAAATACACTTGTACTTTAAACAGCCAAACTTCTTTGTAATTATGAGAATCACTTCAAGATGAAATCAGGACGGTACAAATCTAAACACAAGCTGAGCTCGAACTTGGGAGTTTTAAACGAGCTCGAGCTCGGGCTCGAATAGCTGTCCAAGAAGCTCGACGAGCTTCGAGCAGAGGTTGAGCACGATTTTGACAAACGAGCTTGAACTTGATCAGGCTGAAGCTCAGCTCGGTTCAGTTCGTTTGCAACCCTAATAAGACGGTACAAAAACTTTGTGCTTGATATAGGGCTTCTTTAACGACATAGTGAAGCTGGAATGAAGCTTCAACTTGACTAAGGGGAATGATCAACATCTATAGTTCAATTTTCTTCATTATCTTCTTCATCATCACTTTTTTTTTTTTTAAATTATTGCTATTGGGCTGTAAAAAAAGAATTGAGTTATCAATGAAAATTAGGGTTTCTAAATTCATAAATTGGATGATGCTTCCATCCTGCAAAAAATTCTTCGTTTAATAAATTTTTTGCCATTTATTTTTGCCTACATTAAATTACGAGAACTTTAGGTATGATTTTTTTTTAGAACTTTAGGTACGCTGGATATATAGTATAGAGCAATTTTGATATATATTCTCATCAAATATGAGTTAATTTTTTTTTAAATTTATTTAGGATAAATAAAATATATAAGAAATTAATTAATATTTATATTAAATTAAAGAGAAATTTACATACATACCACTATATTTATAACTATTTACATATCTAACACATCAAAGTTTAATTTTACTCTTATACCACCTAGAAATCATTTTTTACATCACTTCTACCACTCTGTTTAGGTCGGACCTCACGCCGTATTTCTCCCATCTTTTTGCTGCGAATGTAAGAGGGCGAATGTAAGATGAAGTTAGGGCACGGTGCAAGTGGTCGAGGATTTCGGAGACCGCGAGAGGGGAGGAAGGTGAAGTCTGTAGCTTTCTTTTGAGATCGGGAGAAGGTATTATCTGTGCCCTTAGATTTTTTTTCAAAGAAGGAAAGCAATTTTTAAAGCAGGGAAGAAGTTTTTTTGGTTGTTTGCTTCCCTGCGTTTAGGAGATGTTTGCTTCAGGTTCTGTAACCTTGCAGGAAAACAGTTTAGATCAGGAGCTTGCTTTGATTTTTTTTGCTTTTGAGATCAGGTGTGAAAGCTCATTTTTCATGTTTTCCTTCCAGGATCGTTCAGGACGAAGTTGGATAGTCCTGGGACGATCGGTACAGGTTGTGAAGAAAATTCTGGCAGGAAGGTTCGTCCCAGGACGAAATGAGGTTCGTCCGTACGAAATTTCTCTTGAGACCAACTCGTCCTGATATGATAATAATTTCGTCTGAACGAAATTCGTCTAGAGGGCAAATCGTCTTGGGACGATCTTCATGGGTTTATATGGAATAAAGATTTTTATGAAGAGAGAGAAAACCCAGGAAAGAGAAAATCGAAGAAAAAAAAGTGATTTTTGGGCGACTTCTGTCCGTTTCCGTCCGTAGCTGCAGTTGAGAAAGTTGACCGACTTGAGGTAATGCACATTCCGCCTTTCTCAATTTTCAGAAACGATGATTTTGACGACTTTTCTGTTTCGGATTTTGTTTCCGTTAGCGAATAATTGGTTTCATTTTGCACTGATAAACTTTTTACCGCGTAACTTTTGGTATGGCTCTGAGATGATGTTTTTTCACGTTTTGAGTATTTTATGGAAGATTTTCTCCCGGTATTTTGAATTCTGCGGTGTTTTAACCGAATAACGAATTATCAGGATGTTGAAAAATGTTACTTCAGTATAATGAAAGTCTTATAATGATGTTGTGTATTATCTATGATAATTTGGTGAATTTCTGAATCTGTGAATTTTGTGTAAATTATGTATATTGCCGTTATGCCACTGATGATTTTTCTGACGTAATCCGATTTTCTAAATTGAATGTTTTGATGTGCTGTGATATCATAAGGGAGTAATAAGATGCCAGAATCCTTTGAGATTCTGTCTGTGTTAGGAAAATCTGAAAATAAGTTATGTTCTGAAAATTATGTATATCTATTCTGTTCTGGTGCTATAAGCACAAAGGGAGACATAACGGGTCAGAATCTGATATTCTATCAGTGTTAGGGAAGGGAGGCATAAGGGGCCAGAATCCGTCGAGATTCTGTCAGGGTCAGGGATATGTGATATGTGAAATGTGATATATGAAATGTGGCTTTATTTGATTTGACATCTGTTCTGTACTATTCTGTTTAATTTGTACGATTCTGTTTGTTCCGTATGATTCTATCTGTTCTGTACGATTCTGTCTGTTCTGTGAAATCTGACATGAATGTTTTATGATACGAAATGAATTCAATTTTTATGTATCAGTGGTTTAATTTATGTTTGATCAAGTATCTGTATGATTTTTGATGTATTTTCTGATGCGTATTTTTGAAGATTTTGATTGGTGAGTGTAGTCTTGCTGAGCTGTTAGCTCATCCTTGTTTTCTGCGTGATTTTCAGGTTCTGGGAAAGGGAAGGAAGTCTTGGATTAGCCGTTCAGTGTCTGATCAGTGATTATGTATTTTTGTACTTTTGATTTTTGTACAGTCATGACTTTTCTGTTATGTTCTTTCTGTCTGTAGCCATGCACTGTAATGTATATGATTATTTTGATGAAAGAAATAAGAAAATAGTGGATGCATTTCTTTATATGTATTTGAAGTTTATAGCAGCTATGTGTTTCTGTTTGTTCGAATATTTGGAAGAAAGTTCTGAAACAAATTCCAAAACTAGATCCTAGATTTTCAACATTTGCCGCGGCCCGACGCGAAGGGACTCGTTCCGGTCGGGTTGGGTTGTGACATCGGGAGCCTGATTCTTTAAACCTGTCGGACATGTTTGCTTCAGGTTCTGTAAATGTTTCAATGTATAAATCTTAATTAGGTTTTGTAAAGGTTAAAACCTGCTCTGAAGTTAGTTTAGTTCTCATCAGTTGTGAATCAAATTTATACAATAGCAAGCAATGCATAGTATTTTTCCCTTGTAGTTCAAAACCTGAAGCAATGTATACAAGAGCATCCTTTAAACGTGGTTATTCTTATTATTGCGTCCAGGAGTATTCGCAGTGGTAGAGAAATATAAAGTTTAATGTCTTAGCATTGTACGAAAATCTGACATGCAATCAGATAAGAGAGTGTGTAGCATTTGTAGAAAACACCAATATTTTTACGTGAAAAACCCCTGAAAAGGGGGAAAAACCACAGGGCCTAGCCTAGTTTGAATGAATCCACTAGTATTGCAGTTGATCACAAATGAGGTCCTTCATTGGGAGAAGACTTTAGCTTGATGTACATTTTATAGAGTACATTACATGATGTGAATACAAAGAATCACTATTGACGTGTTCGTTTGGTCGGGAGGATCATAGTCTGGTGACGGAGGTCAAAAAGACTGTGGTCTACAGACGACGTAAGTTAGGAGGATCGTAGTTGACGGGAGAAGGAGGTCGGAAAGATTGTAGTCGGTGGGCGACGTAAGTCAGAAAGACCGTAGTTGGTGGGCGACAAGTAGGAAAGACTGTAGTCGGCTGGCGACATAAGTCAGGAGGATCATAGTCGACAAGCGACGGAGGTCGGAAGGACTGTAGTCGGTGGGCAATGTAAGTCAGGCGGACCATAGTCGGCTGACGACGGAGGTCGGAAGGACTGTTGTCTGACGATGAATGTCAGAAGGACAACATCAGGTAGAAGTCTAACAATGGACATAAATCCAACATCGGATAGATGTCCAACAATAGTCCGATATCCAATAGAAGTCCGGCGTCAGGTAGAAACTTAGCGAAGAGCGGAGGTCTAGCGTCAGGTAGCATTCTACCGTCAGTTGGCGGCCGAGGAGAACTCTGGCATTAGATGGTATTCAGGCAGAACTCCTATATTACTTGGAGTTCAGGTGAAACCCCGGCATCACTTGGGGAGGTCGGGCGGAATTCCGACGTCGTTCGGACAGAATTCCGGCGGTGGTGGTCGAGGAGGAGTTCTTCCCTCCTAATCTTCTTCTATGCTTCTCCTCCTTCTTCTTCTTGCTTCCCTCCCCCTCTCAAGAGAAATGATGTATCTATTTATATATTTTTTGGAGTGGCATGGCCCGTAAATAGGCAAGAGATCAGGGGTAAATGTGGAGTGGTCGAATGGACGGCCGATATTGAATCCCTTGATCATGTATCGTTTATCAGGCATTTGAAGGCCTTAATGATGTCAGAATTTGGTGATATTGAGCTCGTTGGATTCGTCTCGTCGAGCCACTTGATTCGACTATAAGCTTGTCAAGTTTGGAAACCGTTTGGTAATCCAAATTGTGGTTCGAACCTTCCAACAGCGCTTCTGGTCCTTGATTTGGACTTATTTGGGCTCGTATTTAGTTGAATTTGGTGTAGTTGGGTTCGTATTTCCGAGACGCTCAGTTTGACTATAAGTTTGCTGAAATCAGAGTTCAGATGCTCTCAGATTTAATTTTTGAAGTTTCCAATTTGATTTTTGCCTCGAGATTCGTGTCCGATCAAGATAATTTTCATGGCGTATCACTTATAGTTCTAATTCGGCGGGAAGAAATACTGCGTGACCTAATGGAGTGGTATAAGTGATGTATAAAATGAGTTTTTGGTGGTATAAGAGTAATATTAAACTTTGATGTGTTAGATATGTAAATGATTATAAATATAGTGGTATGTATGTAAATTTCCTAATTTAAATTAATGTAAATCCAAAAATTTTAAAACGCCAAAATCTAGTAAAAATTTTCATCCTTTTTTCGTTTATTAGTACTTGCTTATATGGGAAGCAAGACGTTAAAATTTCCGAACCAGGGTAAAGATAGATACCCGAAGCATACTAGATTAGTAGTTGGGACGAAAGAGAAAGCTCTTCGTTTTGGTAACTGAGATCTCCCTCCCGTCCGGAGCAATGGCGGGCTGGATCTCTTCCAAGCTTAAAGTCGCCGAGAACCTCCTGCAGCAAATTGATCAGCAGGCTGCAGATTCCCTCGGCAAGGCCGACAAGCCGCGGCGCTCCCCTTCCGCCTCTGATCTCGCCTCCGTCACAGCCAAGCATAATCAGCCACAGCCGGGTGCAGATTATTCTACATCTGCCACGAAATTTCCGCTCCTCAAGAAATCGACGCCCGATCTCGCAAAGGTATCTGTTCTACAATCCCCTTCTTCATTTTCTGCCTCGGCAAAACCTACCCCAGATCCAACAGTCATCGATTGGACGGAGCTACTTAGCTCACCCAGTCCGAACGTACCGGCAACAGTTCCTCGGGTCGCAGACGGCAGTGCCGTGCAGCGCCCATCGTTGTTGAGCGTCGTTAAGAAACCAGCAGTATCGAAGAATGGAAAGAGTTCCTCCCGGAGAGCAGCAACCCCTTCTTCTTCCTCCTCCTCCTCCTCCTCTTCTCTCGTTTTTCCTTCTTCTAAAGAACATCGAGATGGTGAGAACCAACTTCGTCAAGTGGAATTACAGAAATCGCTTTTGTCAGGAGGCGAACCTTTGTTGATTAGTGAGGCCGGGAGGCTGGAAATAGTCACCGATTGGAATCGGAGTAAAGAAGAGGGTGCAAAGGTGAAGGCTGTTTCTCAATTTATTAATGTCTCCACAAGGCGTTCTTCAGAAAGCGGAAGGGACTCGGATACAGAATCCTCTTCCGGATCTGATTCAGAGGAAGAGACCCGGCGAGCGGAAGAAAGGAGGAAGCGGCGGGAGCATATACTTGCTGAGAAGGCCGCCAGAGCGGCAACCGATGCTATTAAGGAGAAAGAAGATATTGTTGCGAGATTGGAGGGAGAGAAAGAGAGTCTGGAAAAGATTCTTGAAGAAAGGGAGAGGCAGCAGGCGAAGGAGGCTTCAGAATTGCAGATGAGTATGATTGAGACCATGGAGGCAGTGGACCTGGAGAAGCAGAAGCACAACAGTACCAGAATGGAAGCCCTGGCTCGGTTGGCTGAGCTCGAGGCCCAAAATGCGGTGCTTGCGAAGTCACTTGCGACAGAGCAGTGGAATCTCGAAGTAGCGCTGAATCGTGTAGCAGAACTTAAACAGCAGATTGGATTTAAGGAACTAACTCAAGAAGAATTGAAGAGGAGAATGTCAACTGTCAAGAAACAAGCATCTTCTCCGTGCATCATGGAACCTCTGAGAAAGGATAGGGTTGATAGAGAGATTCTGGATGCAGAGTATTCTTTTACTTGTGATAAGATTGCAAGGTTGAAGGACAAAGCGCAGTGGCTCGAAGAGAGCATAGGGAAAACAAAAAGGGAGATTTTGCAACCAACTGAAGTGGAACTTGAACTGAAGAAAAGACTGAGTCAATTAACTGATCACTTGATTCAAAAACAAACCCAAGTTGAATCACTATCTTCTGAGAAATCAACATTAGTCTTTAGAATGGAAAAGCTGTCAAGGATGCTTGATGAGAATGGGATACCACTGGAGGATGGCGAATTTGAAAGCCTGGATATTGAAACTGGGAGATGGCAACATTCTGGTTATGCTACAAAAGCCGCACTTCGTGAGAGAATAAGATCTGGGCGACAACAACTTGGACTGGTTATTCGCCAGTTGGATGCTATTTTCTCTGCAGGTGCAATATTTGTGAGGAGGAACACAATGGCCCAGTTTTTTTCTTTTTTCTACCTTTTATGCTTACACCTGTGGGTTTTGTATATACTGATGTCACATTCACAAGTTTCTGATGGAGCCAGCCAAGGTTCTTCTTTCTCGTAGAAACCATCAGCAATAAATCAGGTCACTAAATTTTTCCTCTAATTTTTTGTGAATATTTTTCCATCTCTAGCTCTGATTCTAAAGAAACAATGGTGCAATTTTTTCAGGTTTTATAGCGAGTCTGTCATCTTGGTTTTATGCCACTTAATTAGATAAGTTGCATTTATTATACGAAATATATATGTTTTTCGGTGCAGGAGGGGGTTATATGTATGGTCACTGGTATACTAAATTTTGTTGATTAGCGTGATGGATGCATTAATGGTTCATCTTTGTATTTTGAGTATTTTATATTGAAGATATATATATATATATATATATATACTACATGAAGCATAAGTAAACTTGAGTGGTAATGAACTTTTTTTATTATCCAAGAAGAATAAGAATCCCTATAGCTTATATATATTCTGGTTTGATAGGATATCATTATGAAGGAACGCTAGATATACCACTATTAGTAAAGGGTTGGTTTGAGTAAGCGAATTGAGGAGTGTTCTGCTTCTATTGAAACCATTTTGTGTTTATAAGAAAAACCATTTTAATTTTTTAATTAAGGAGGAAGCATTCAGTATGGGTTCTTTACATCTACATCCCTTCACAACTAACAAAAAACTTTGTAGATATTAGTTTATTTTGAAAGGCAAATCTATATGGATTCTTAAAGGTTTATATTCTAATAATGTAGGCAAATAGTTTCCTATTGCCATAATGTTGAATGTCACTAAGTCAAACTTTTGCATTGGATGAGATTTAATGATTTATAATATATTAAAGTATATCTTGAATGATGATGATTTTTTTATCCAGACATATGGATGACAACGATGATGAGAGTAATTAGTTATTTTCTGCTTTATAAGGGATTTATGTTTTAGAAACATCTGAATTCTAAATTTGCTTGGACTTGTCAATTTAGATTTAAGGTTTATTTATTTATTTATCATTTCTTTGTGATTATACTACGGGATTTTTTCTCTTTTGTGAATAAGACCGGTTATGATTGAAAAAAATATATATTAGAAAAGAACTCTTAAGGGTAATTACAAAGAACTAATCAAAAACAAAAAGTTTATCTCCATCTACTAAATCATAAATCCACTAATAAAGCAAAAACATAACTAATTAATCCTGATTTCATCGTCTAATGTGTATACCGATCGGGCGGTTTATCATTACAGAGACAGATAAGTAATTAAAGTCATCCTTTCTCATAGCAGTGCACAACCATATACGTTCTATTTTGAGAGAGGCAATATGGATTCTTGAAGATTTATATCAGAGTGATGTTTCATATACTTTATGATGTAGAACGGGTTCCAAAATCTGAAGGAAATTCGGACTTCTTTGCCCAAAACCTGAAAAGAATCTCAGATTTTCTCTTGGTAGGAGAGAGGTTGCAAGCTCCACACCTCTTCTCTTAATTTCTGAAATCAGACTCAGATTTTCACCAAAAATCTGAGAGAAATTCTCAGATTTTAGTCGTTGGGAATAGAAAGTTGAGAGCAAAATCCCTTTATAGGTTTTGGAAGAGAGGGCCCAAAACAAAACCTGAAATAAGTTTCAGAATTTGGTGAAGAGAGGAGGAGTTTGGTAAGAATCCCAAGGAAGGAGCCAGAGAGATTTCGGCCAGCAGCAATCAGATTTTGGAAATCTTTCCAAAGGAATAAACTGCATTTAAGGATAGTGATGTGAAACTACTAGGAGTTATTTTAGAAATTAAAAAGAGAAGAGATTAAAGTGTGGCTCGTTACAAATTTAAAGCTAGCACATACAATTTGAGTTAGGAATTCGAAAGTATTAACTTGCTTAGGCCCAAAGATATGCAATAAAGATTAACCAAAACAATTCATTCAAAATTCAAGGAGATTTAAATGCAAAGTACAATTACAAAAACCCAACGTTTAACAACGAGAATTTCACCTCGGGGCCGTCTCACTCAAATTTTAGTAGGCTTTTAGCGGAGAGAGAAGATCCAAACGATGAAGGATATTACCACTAGAGAAGCGACACCGAAGAACCTTGTTGACGGGAAGGTGGCCGGCGGGGAAGGAGGTAGTGGGTGGCTTACGAGGCTCCACTTGTGGCTTGAGAATCGTCGGTCGAAGATGCTAGCAAGGATCGGGACGACTCGGTCCAAATATTCTTCCACGGTGGTCTCGCCTTCAAATCCCACGTCAAAGCACGGGGAACGTAGGATGTTGATGCTTCCGTCAGCGTTGAATACAAGACCCCATTCAAACTCGGGATCCGCCATACATGATTGACGTAGAGAATTCTTCAAGGGGAGGAGGATTAAGTGAAGGTGAGGGGAAATCCTTGCGTTGGAAGAGTGGAGATGATGATGAAGGTGGAGAGGCCGGCGGGATTTTCAAGGAGAAAGGAGGGGTTCGGCCCAGGAGGAAGAGAGGGGGCGGGTGTTTTGAGAGAGGGCTTCTAGGTTAGATGAGGTGGCAAGCGATTTACTAAAAATCTGAAGTTAATTCTCAGATTTTAGTATAATGGAGGGAATAATTTGAAAAGAGATTTCAAATTCCTAATAGTGATTAAGGGGGAATTAATGGGTAATCAAGAGGGGCCCATCAATGTGGCCGGCGGCTTAATGGGGAGAGGGAGGAATTGCTAAAGTTAAAACTGAAATTGAATTTCAGTTTTAAGTGAATTGGGAGGGAAATTTTGAAATCCAATTTGATTCCAAAACGGTCACGGCACTAAATAGCATTTAATGGGGGAATCTCCCTAGTGTGGCCGGCGGCATGCTTGGAAGGGGAGAGGTAATTTCATGAGGTGGCTTCCCATTTGAATTAGTGATGTGGCACAAGGCGATTAAAACTCCCAATATCAAATGGAATTAAAATTAGGAACCGTCATGAAAACTTTTCAAATTTGGAATTCCACATTAGGAAAGAATTTGAAATTTAAAATTCAAATTTCAAATTTGGATATGTGGTAGAGATGGGGTGGACGGTTGAGGGGGAGGCGCCGGCGGGGTGGTCGGCCGGAGTCGGGGATGTGGCCAGCGGTGAACTTCCAAGGGGTGGCGGCAAGTGGAGATGGGAGGGCTGCTTTTGTAGAGGATGGGAAGGAGATGGATATGAATACGAGCGAGAAGATAAAGAAAAATCCAACCACGAATCGAGGACTCTTCCAATGATTGGTGGGCCTTGCGAATTGCTCCACTTGAGCTCTCTTCCCTCTCAAGCACTCATGCTAGAAAAGTAGAAACAAACATAACTTTTCATTCATAATATTCATTATCCTCAAAATAGTACATGAGACCACTATATATAGGTCTCAGCTCATACAAAGAGAAAATACCAAATTGTCCTCTGGGCTACAAAGACACAATAACTCCCCACAGGGGTAAAAATGGAAAGACAGAAAATAAAAAAGATAATAATAAAATAACATCATGACATCTCAATCAAAAGTAGAGGCGCTGAATCGTGGCCGTCGATCTGCGGTTTCGCCGGCGATAAACATGTCGGTAGCGTCTGTCGATGTCCTCATCAGATAGATTTCAAAATGCAAGTTAATATGGAGAGGGGACGGCGGGATGACAGGGTGGGTCAAGGAATTTTTATTTTTCAAATCAGAGGCTTGATTTGGGAAATAAAAATTGGAAATAAAGCTCAGGGAAATTCGGCTAGAGAGGTTACGGCAATTGAAATTATTTCCAAATAAGAATTATGTGTTTGGAAATAAAACAAACTGTGCAATGTTGAGAATAATACAAATGGCAGCAATTAAAAGGGTATTCCAGGATTTGGATGTGATGAACAAATCTTGTTACGGGAATTGAAATTGTTTCCAACAGTGATAATTAGCTATGGAAATAAATCTTAATTAAAACCAAGGTGGAGGAAGAGGCCGGCAGCATCCAAAGGGAAAGATGGGTCTAGAGCAATCAATTGGGTTACCTAATTTGGGTTTTGGGATTTAGGAAAGAATTATTTAGATCCATTTGAATTTAAAATTCAAATAGAACTCATTTACAACTTTCCAAAAATAGAACGACAAATTAGGAAAAATTTCAAATTAGTTGGATTTGAATTTTGAAAACCGCCCAAAAATAAATTACCCAAATTAAGCAAGGAATTAATGGGGATGAGGAGGTGGATGGGGAACCGGCGGTTAGAGGGTTGGCCGGCGGTATGGGAGCTTGGGTGGGATGTTGGCCGTGGGTGTTGGACGGGGAAAAGAGGGGTTTTCGGGTGAGGCTAGAATCCGGCGGCCAAACGAAGATGGGGAGGAGGAAGAAGATGAAGATAACGACGAAGAGCAATAAGAAGGAACAAAAGCAAATAAATAAAATATCAAAGATACAATCGCGAGCCCGGACACATCCTGCGGCTGACGGGTACTACGTTGCCCTTCTCCAAGGGACTTCACGCCACGAGCCCGGACCCATCCTGTGGCTGGTGGAAACTCCGACTCCCTCCCATAGGGATTTCACTAACGTTCTTCCCAAAGAACCCAAGTGCAAAACGCAATTTTTTTTTATTAATAATCCATTATGCTAATACAAGAGAAGGGGCCTCTATATATAGGCCTCAAAAGAAATTAAAAGACACATTTGCCCCTTGTGCTTACATAAGACAAGAGGGTAAAAAAGAGAAATTGCAAAACTAAATTAAAATACACTTAATAAACGAAAATAAAACATAGTGATCTCGGTCGTCGATCTTCAGCTCCTCCTCGGATTTGCATGGACGGTTGGATATCCGCATCACTTTACCATTCCCCTTATTATGAAATATTGAAAACCAATAAATCATATATCTACTTTTGATGAGATCTGATAATATATTGCAAATTTTATTTTATATTTGTAGGATTGTTAACTAGTCTGGAATAGGTTGCCTTGGGAATATTGTTCAAGGATAAAAGCTCAGTTGTTACAAGCGTCGATGAAGAATATTGTCTGTGCATATGTTCTTGATAAACTTAAAAGAAAATTAGAATAACTCACATCGCTATTTTTACCAGATATAGCAATTACCAAACAAATTTGAAGGTGCATCTTGATCTCAGTTTTCCCACGGGGTAAGGCATGATATTAAGAGTTCAATTTTGATAGTTTATTCATTTACTTCCAAAGCTCTTCCAAAGTTTGGTTATAGGTTGATGGTACATTGTTGATCTTAAGTTTGTTTTTTCTCTTTTCATAGAAGTTTCAGTTCTTCCCTCGTTGGGCTATAAACAATCCAATCTTGAGCGACCTTGGTTTTTGTTTGAGCTTGG